TGGACTGGCTGGTACCGACAGAGGTACCGGCCTGGACTGGCCTACCCCGAATACAACACAGGCCTGTGAGAACAGGCCAAGGGGCTGGTCTCACAGGCCAACCCAAGGTCCGCTACACGATCCTCGGCCTGTGATGGATCGCCTAGATACAAACATGCTTCCGCCAAGAAGCGGAACTCTACCAAAGAAAATAAATCCTGAGTAGTCTAGGATGCGGAGCAAGCTCCATTCTGAGTCCATGCGATGCAACCTAGGATATAAAATGTCACAAAACAGCAATGTCACAGCTAACAGGCTAAGTGAAAGCAGAAGCAACTAACTAACATACATGTCCTAGGAAAGCAAAAGCAACTAACTAGCATACATGTCCTAGGAAAGCAGAAAGTAGTGACAACTAGATCCTAGAATGTTGGAGGCACTAGCCTCAGTCTGGTAACAAATGACTAGTGTATAAGTCCTAAGTACAACAAAAGCAAAACAGCTAAATCCTTGAAATGTCGGAGGCAGTAGCCTCAGTCTGAGAGCAACAAAGCAATCAACAAGACAACCATAYGTCACATGAGAAGTGTGTCGCAAACCAAAGGGTGGGATGGTCCGTGAGGGTGGCGAATGCAGCCTAGGGGTCGAACCTCCTAAGGGCATCCACACATAGAGAACAGGGAGACACATGTCATCAGGCTCAATGAGGGTAGGGAACTGAGAGCGAACAGAACCAATGACCCTAACAGATAGACCATCAGGGCGGGTAATGCTCGACTAAGGGGTGACCGCTATGGAGGGTCGACCAGGGGAATAAGGGAGCCTGGTATACTGGGCGCACCTAGATGAAGCATGCGGGGCTGCCTAACTAGGGCGTGAGGGTCGGCGAAGGGTAGAAAGATGATGGGTAAGGGAATTATGCAAATGACTCCTAAAGTGAGGGAAGTCGAAGCTAGATCCGTAAAATGGGAAGCCAGGGCAACGCTACGGTCCCGATGCCTATGCGTATACCAAGGGAGAGCCCAACTCAGAGGAACCCGGATAAAGGGAGACCATCATGCGACACAAGCAAGGTACTGTACAGGGTAAAGTGGTAAGGGGGTGATGACGTCTGAAGTAGGCAGAGCTGATCGTGATGAAGTCCATGAAGCCGCCGATGACGTCCACGATGAGAAGTCCGGAATGTCGTCGAGGAAGAGCCGCAGCATTGACGAGCTGAAGTAGCAAAACTGATGTGGATGGAGTACTGAGAAGTCAAAGACGTGGGAAGGTAAGTTAGAGTCAATCGTCGTACCGAGCAGGGCGACGACGAGTGCGCTGTGGACGCATCGGTGGTAAGGATAAAAGGGCGGTCAAAATCGGGTAGGTGAAGAACCGGTGCGCATGTCACCGCCTTCTTGAGGGCGCGGAAGGCGTCCTCGTGGAGGGGTGTCCAAGCCTAGGGTGGGTTCTTCCGGAGGAGGGTGGAGGTAAGGACGTAGGAATACCTAGCGTATCCCCGGATGAAGTTACTATAGTAGCTGGTCAGGCCTAGGAAGCTGCGAAGCTGCTTGGCGGATGTGGGGCCGGGCCACTCCGCAATAGCAGTGATCTTCGCGTCGTCCATGTGGAGACCCTGGTCAAACACGTAGTGTCCTAAGAAATCCACTTTGTGCTGGGCAAAGCGGCACTTGCTCAGCTTGGCGTAGAAGCCATGTCTGCGCAAGCGGTCAAGGACGTCGCGGAGGTGTCTGAGGTGCTCCTCAAGGGTACGACTGTAGACCAGGATATCGTCGAGGTAGACGAGAACGTACTGCTCCAGGATGTCCCTGAAGATATCGTTCATCGCCCTCTGGAAGGTGGCGGGTGCATTGGTGAGGCCGAATGGCATCACCGTAAACTCGTAGTGGCCGAAGTGCGATCGGACCGCTGTCTTCGGCTGGTCGGCTGCAGCGACGCAGATCTGATGGTAACCGCTACGAAGATCAATCTTCGTAAAGAAGCGGTTGCCTGCTAGGCGGTCGAACAACTCATTGGAACGAGGCAAGGGGTGGTGGTAGTTGGGGGAGGTGGTGGTAGTTGGGGGAGAGGAGGGTTGGGGAAAGGTGGAAAGAGATCAAGAAGGAAGGAGAAAAGAAGGGAAGAAAAGGAGAGATGAAGAAAATAGAGTAAAAGAATGGGTGGTGGGAGAAAGGTGGGGTGGGGAAGATAAAAGGAGGAGAGAAAAGATGCAGTAGAAGGTGGGGAAAAAAGAAGGGGTGAATAAGAGGAGAGAGGAGAGGTAGGGAGATTGGGTTAGTAGAGGGAGAGGGGAGAAGGGAGTGATACCTAGCCCTTGGTGTCTCCAAGGGCACAAGGTACACCAAGACCAGGAGGGKCTTGGTCTTTGCTGCAGCAGCCAGTTGGAGGAGAGAGGGGGCTAAGGTCTTGATCAGCCCCCAGCAGCACTTTTGCAGATGTGTAGATGTAGGGTCTGCTGTGTGAGCAGCCCCCTAAGCAGGGGGGTCTTCAGTCCCACCACAGGCAGCCACGTGGCCGTGGAGATGGCCACGTGCACAGGCAGCAGCAGGCACGGGGGGGGTGTAAATAGCCAGCACCGCACCTCTTCAACACGAGTGTGCCGTGCTACAAAGCCATGGACACACTGTGGCGAGTGTGTTATGAGGCTGCTTACGCACGCGCAAGGCTTGGCAGGTGCCTGGGTTCAAACCCCAGCGGCAACAAAAACTCCCGAATCTTGATAAGATAAATCCGGTAGCGGGGCAGCGTGGGCCCGTGGCGCGCGCGCGCGTGCGACGGCCTTGGCCTTGCTCGTCGTGACGCCTCTCTTTTTCGCCACGTGGCACCTCCTGCACGCGCCGCTTTTCCCCTGCGTTTTCACTGAAAAACGCCCTAAAACTGCGAAAAAAACCGATGTCGGGTTTTGCTGTTTTCCTCAGCTGTATGCCTGCACAGTTGTACGGGGTGGTGGGTGGGAGCGGGGAACGTTCCCGCTCCGATACCAATGTAGCGGACCCACCAGGTGTGGTGCTCCGCT